GGCGTGTATTTGGCTCTGTAGCATCACCAGTGATTGAAAATAGTTCTTAGAGCTGCTTTTGCTTGGTTACAAAGATGTAAGTCAGGATACTTAAAGAACTGAATCTGAATACTCTGAAGCATGCAATCACCAACTATTAGGCAATAATGATTATAACGAATCAATATAAACGGCTTGTCGAGATTCATAGATAATCAAGCAGTTAACTTACTGTTCTTTTTTGATATAAAAACTTCTGCAAACTTACGAATGGACTCATTTCATGAGTTTCGGCCTTCCTAGAGTATAAACACAATGTAAGCACTGTGAAAACGCAAGAGCAGGCGACAACCATCAAGCAACAGGAAAAGAATGCAGCTGCAAGCAAAGCTATAATTTGAATTCCATCGAAAACAATATCAAATCAAAACAGTAAGGTAAAGCAGCATCCATTTCTTAAAATTCACATACATTATCGTAGACTGAAAAAAGTAGATTTGGCAAGAATTTACCTAGAATTGGGACGCTCTTTGACTGAGGCGGACTCATGTTTGAGACCATTTGCAGGAAGAAGATCACTGATAAAAGCACTGTCGTTTCTGAAAGGAGAAGATGAACAGACAAACTGTAGGGAAAATAATTTTCAACATGGGCTTCAGACTGTCTCGTTTTGTACATGTTATATAGCATTCTATATCTTAAGCTACAGGATTTCCGGCTAGGCTTCCAGACCTCCATAGCTCGCTCCTCAGCTTTTACACTACGAAATTCCAGTTATAAGGATATGATAGCTTTCGACTACGGAAATTCACAACAATGACTTTTACTGGGATTTGCTAACATCATTTGTGACAGATAGGTACCAATCGTGTACCCTCGTAATGTTGGTAACGTACGCTTGTCTTAGTGGGGTCATAGCGCCTTATTGATGTTAACTACAATTACGCGCTGCCTAGCAAGGTCCTAGTTACCAAACTAGCCCATTCTTGTCTGGCAATGGTCGCATGAAGGCATGCTCTCTTCCCTACAGTACACATATTTTAATACCTCTACTCTTTTGTGTATTTGTATGCG